AAATAAATGTATGCACTCACTAACTGTAAGTCGCTCTGGATAAGAGTGTCTGCTAAATGATGTAAATGTAAAACACACACACAGTCAGTCCAGTGAATGAATAGACAGGATGGTGAGTGTTTGTGGAAATGAGTGCTTACAGATCCCGAGGGGTGCAGAAGCCACTTAGAGAGAGGAAACCAGCCAATCAATTAGCCCTACTAGAGGACACAACCATGTTATTCTCCACATCCTCCCATCCCAACTGTTAGGGCTGTGTTTAATTTAAATCACTTCCCCTCGTCCCCACCAGACAGACACATTCGCATGCACACACACAATACAGTGTAAGTTACACTGATGCCGCTAAGTGAGTATGGTGTTACCTTTGAGGTTTCTTTGTGTGAGTTTTTTCCTAGGGTAAGGGATGCTGGTGACAATGAAGGCACCTGCATAACTATTGAAACCTCAACCATGCTGTCCCTGAGTAGGTTATTCCTCAAATCTGTGTGTGTATTGGCTTCGTGTGTCTGTGCGAGTGAGTGGATTTGCGTGACAAAGAGACATCCAGCCGCCTGTCCCAGTATTTTGGTTAAGTGGGCTCTGGCATGCAAAGGCTTGTCTCTTCAACAACGTGGCGTATTGTACTTCTAACATGCTCTCCCACCGCTAACACAGCAAGAGAGAGAACCCTGAAAAACACACATGACAAAAACTACAGATGATTCATGATAGATTGTATGTGATCAATAACTATTAATACATATACAGCCATATCACAAAGCCATATCCCTCTCATTTGATGATACGGTTATCATTAAATCGACCAGAATGTAGGGACATTCAATCTGTTGAACTTTGTTGAACTATGCTGCAGTGTCCAATTACTTAATGGGTCTGGGGTCTATGATTCAGCGGGCTGATACTGGAAGATTTGTTTTATCCTCTATAAGCCAAGGAGCATAAGAGGTTTTGACTTTGTCATGTTAGCTATGCCAATGACTCAGGTATCAGGATTTATCACTGAAATCTCCTTTTTGTCTGAGCATGAGAGAAAGAGCGAGAGAAAGAGCGCAAGAGACTCAGCCGTTGCGATGCAGTCCTCATAAAGGTAGTATTGTTAAGTTGCGTGCGAAGCTCCTGGTTTGAGCTTTTGGGTCTCTGCCCACTCTTGTTAACCACAGAACCTCCCCCTTCCAGTAAACATTTGATGTCCGCACGCAATCCCTGGAGTGTCTCCTCCCCGTTTCACTTTTTTTCTCCTTCTCACTTACACACACACACATTCTCCCAGGGCATGAGTAAGCACCTGTCAGTAAGGTGTACTGTCATTGGTTGAAGCTGTAGCCTTTCAAAGCCTTACAACGGGATCATCTTTAGAGTTAAACTATCATTCCTTTCTCGACCCCCTCTTTATGATTGAGATAATACCTTATATCTGTACTCATACTATCCACTCACAGGTTAGCTAGATCTCACACACTCAATCCCTTATCCCACCTTATCCTACTTTTAGCACCCATTCCGTATCCCTACTCTACATCCTCATATCCTATGCTTGAGCATCATACTCTACTCAGCACTCTCCTAGTGTAACAGTGCTCTAACAGTGCTGTACTGTTCTTTGCCTTTGGATTGGCTACTTCTGACATTCTTTGACCGCCTCTCCAGACCAGATTACTAGCAGCCGGCCTGTGGTCAATGCTCCCAACTGTTCTCCTCATACAGGACTATGGCCACCAGACAAAGGAGCCATTTGAGCCCAAACACAAAGTAAAGAAAGGGTCCCTTCTCTTGGATCCTGTGTGCTCGAGAGACTATGTGAGTGTATGTGAGCATATATATATATATATATATATATATATATAGTGTGTGCGTGGTCCATGCTTGTGGCTTCCCACTCTCTCTGGTGCCCAATAAAGTCAGGGAAGATCCGTAACAATAGCCATTGTCCTGCCTATACTAATCCCTGCCCTCAGCGAGGTGGGCATGGGCTCTCCGGGCGATGCTGGCACAGGGTGGCTATGAAAGGGGTTCTTTGTCCTTCACCTTCACCCTGTCAACAAGGTGTTTCCTGCACTGGCATTCCGACTCAATGAGAAGCAAAACCTCGTCTCGCCTCTCCCTATCATACTTATCACAGCTCAAAAGAAAAACAAATAGGAAAAAGAAAACCCACACAAGCATACACCTCTATGTGTGTGCCGGTCGACTAGCTGCCAGGTCCTAGGCTTACACAAAGCTTACAAAGGTATAGAAGTGCAGTGGAGTTGAGCATTGCTACATAAGGATGGGTCATGGCTCAGGGTACTGGTATCATTGTCTAGCACTCTGAACAATGGATCGACAATGGATACATTGCACAAGACCAGGCCTCAGTCAAAGTGGATGTTCTATTGAACACGTTCAGATTATCTCGAAAAGACTGAAATGGCAAGACAACAGAGACAGAAAAAGAACGGACGAAAGAGTGAGCGAGTAATAGAGAAGGATGTAGGAAAGGATAGTGGTGTCATGTAAAGTTTCCAGAGGGCTGCCAAAGTTTTTTTCCCATCTCTGTTCAGGAATGGAACATTTCATTACAGAACATTTCCGCTCTACTGCACTCTGTGTTTTCCCCAGGCCCAGTACATAGACTAGTAGAGTTCACCTTTCGAGTACTTTATCATCTCTCCACTGTCTCATGTCCACTGTTCATAGTAGTGGCCACACACACATAATTTCTGCTGACAGGGAAGTGCAGTGTGCCAGAAGCACAAAACAGTCCATTGTCACTGTATGACACCTTTACATTGGTTAGTGCATAAGGAAGTATGAATATGGCTACTTCTGAGTATAACTCATGTCTTTATGCATATGTGTTGATGTTTTTATGCATATCTCCCAATGGCAAAAATGCATGATTTACCCCACATTCAAGTTATAACATGTATTTCCAGCTAGGCTTGGGCCGTGTACAGTTAGAACACAGCTGCATGACAGTAAAGGTCCACAGTACAGTATGTGATTCATTCCAGTGAATCATGAGTCACTGGGGCAGTGGCTGAACCAGGGTTGACCCCACTGACTAACAACATAGAGAAACACACACATTGTGGAAGCAGTATTGGTTTATTACATCATCAACACCATCAATAACACATCTCTCTCACTTTTTCTTGGGATTGGTTCTATCCAACCCCCTCCTAGAATAGAGTCAGGCAGCGAGACCAGGGACAGTTTGTATCAAGCGTGTCAGACTAGGAGTGCTGATTTAAGATCAGTTTAGCCTTTTAGATCACAATGACTGAGATTACATGGACAGGGAAGTCCTTATCCGAGATCGTCCCAAGTGTTTAAAAGCACCCTGCCTCACGCAGTACAGTACAGTTCATGAATGGAAAACTAGAAACGCAAAAAGGAGGTTGCATTTTAGTTACGTAGCTAGCATTCCATTTGGCTAGCTGTAATATCTGACTTCTCACACAAACTTCACATTAGTCATTACATTTCATTTCACCTGTAAGAATAACGGAATGTAATAATATCATAATAACAATGCAATAAGAATGGAAAGGTGTGCTAAAATTGAGAAACGCATAAGAAATAAGCTAGCTATAAAATGTTGCTATTCCCATCCAAAGGCAGTTTCATCAAAAAGGGGAAGAGGAAGAAGGGGGAGAGGAGAGAGAAGAGCAGAGAGAGAGAGCGAGAGAGAGAGAGGAAGAGAGAGAGAGAGAGAGAGAGAGAGAGCGATGAGAGCGAGAGCGAGAGAGCGGAGAGAGATGGAGCGCTCCGAACTCCTCTCTCTCTCTCTCTCTCTCTCTCTCTCTCTCTCTCTCTCTCTCTCTCTCTCTCTCACACACACACACACACACACACACACACACACACACACACACACACAGCAAGAATGTATGCGAGAAAAAGCTAAATAAAGTTAAATAGAAAAAGAAAAACAGACACAGAATCACGCTGTAATTTAAATGTTTGATTCATGGAAGAAGAAAAAAATCATGCCATCCTGAATGAATTAGGTGTGCACCATTTCTGAATATATTACATCATAATCTGAGCAAAGATCAGGCAAGCCAACACATTCAGATGGGTATTTGTGACATGTCTGTAGACACAGATCCCTGTGTTTCCTTCAGTGACCATAACTAGCCTTCAAAACACAGTGTTGAGGTACAACTGTGCAGTGGCCGACACAGCTGGAGCCAAAATAGAATAAGCCCTTAGAGGCGTAACCCCATTCAAAATAAAATATCTACTTTTCATAAATGGCTGTCTCAGTGCCAATCTAAACTAGTCATACAAACATCTATCTTCAAGTATCGTCATATTTTATCATTAGGATCCAGTATCAAACATTCTTTTTTGCATTTTCAAAAAATTAAAATAAAGATTTGGTTGAGCTTCCTAAAAGGGCAATCTGCGGTTGAAACAATAACAAAGCGCTAACCCCACCACTCTCAAATTTAAACATAGCCATGGATGCAAAGACTGACCATCCATGATATTCAAATGATAGTTTTAACCATGTTTTGAGACTATACAGTGCCTTGCAAAAGTATTCATCCCCCTTGGCATTTTTGCAATTTTGTTGCATTACAACCTGTGTGCAAGAGTGTGCAAAGTTGTCATCAATGCAAAGGGTGGCTATTTTAAGAATTTAAAATCTAAAATATATTTTAATTTGTTTAACACTTCTTTGGTTACTACATGATTCCATATGTGTTATTTCATTGTTTTGATGTCTTCACTATTATTCTACAATGTAAAAAATAGTAAAAATAAAGAAAAAACGTTGAATGAGTAGGTGTGTCCAAACTTTTGACAGGTACTGTATATTATACATTTAAAAGTCAAAACATTGATGAAGCATTTGCACAAAATGTTATAATAAAAAAAAATAAAATCAGATAATAAAATAAAAGCAAGCAGTCGGAGAGAAGGCAGGTTTGGTCCCATTTCTTCTTTCAAGGTCTGGTGATTGTTACATTCTGGGACATCAGCGAGGTGTTCCATGTGAAGCCTTAGCCCAGCCCAACGTCCAGTGACATCATCACTACAAAGCCCAGGATGGAGGTCCAGGAAGCCAACTTACCATTCCCACTTCAAGACAATATACATGGACAGGGTTAATCAATGTTGGTGTAGTCATACAGTATTTCAATCATATACAGTACACTGAGACACAGAGACATAAACGGAGTATGGAAAGATAAGATTGATAGACAGAAATAGAGACAGACAGGCAGAAATAGAAACGGACAGACAGAATGACAAACATAGAATGACATATACAGACTTGAAAAACTCTCAGGTTACTAACACACACACACACACACACACACACACACACACAATAAACAGGCCAGCAGGCACACACTTCACAGTGACAGTCTACCCACACAAAACGTTGGGTGTTGAAGAGAGGACAAGCCAAAAGACAGCTCGCTTCCCGTCTTGAATTTTAAAGCAAACAATACGCCCAGGGTTGTGAAAACCAGAACATTCCAGGGGGACCTTGTCTTTGCTCCTCTCCCACTCTCCCTCCCTGCGGCTCACACTTACACAAAGACATCGATTGATCAAGTCTGGCTCAGTCACAGAGATGGGAGCGCTATGAACAACCACGCAAAGAGATTGCAATCATGGTGGGAAAAAATTGTCTCTTTCCTTTTCTCTCACCCTCTCTTTGTATGTTTATGTATTACTAGGAAACATTGTTCAAGTGTTTTCTAAAGGGTTGGACATGGGCTAAGCCTTGACTAAGACATGAGTTTAGCGATGGGAGAGCACTGTTAATAGAACATCTCTCCCTCCTCTCGCTCTACATTCTCCATCAGTCTGCATGGCCACTCACCTGAGTTGAGCCTCTGGGATGATGTCATCGACCACCACATACACCATGGCCCCGGCAGCGAAGGCCAGGGCGTACGGCAACAGTGGTTCCGCCAGCACCATGGCAACAGCGCCTAGCAACCCGGCAATTGGTTCTACCATACCACTGAGCTGTCCATACCTGAGGAAATAGACAATGAGGAGTTAGTTAGAATCCTAGTTAGTACCCTAGGGAGTAGGGATGTGACAAAAAATAAACAATTATAAAAAAAAAAATTAACTGCAATTTTCAAAATATTGCAATACAGGACTTCGCTGCTGTCTAGGGATGGGCATGTTATTTTGAATATTTGAATATCCGAACAGACGTTAGTATTAATTTTTTAGAATAAAACAAATATCGGTATATTTTAACAATGAAAAGGCTATGTCTAAAATTAAATATAATGGTATATGTGACATTGATACATAGCCTACAAGGATAGACTATTACATTCCACATTTTAAAACAACAGTTTTGAGTGCACCTCATAAAAAAGACGCACCGGTAACCTACACACGTTTCACAGTGTAGCTTGTTGTTATTAACCGTCAATCAAAGCGGCGCTACAGTACGAGGCTCCATGTGTAGCAAGTAAAGTGGGAGATTTCTAATCAATGTCAAATGGAATTAAAATTACAGAATTAAGTTGGTTAAATGAGAATAAGTAGGCTACAATGACCAACCAACAAGTAGGCTTTTGTTTTATATGAATGGGGTTGTTGTAGACAAGGGCGCCGAAAAATAGCCTCAATTAGCCTTGCTACTTTAGCTAGTTAGCTGACTAACTTAGCTGGCTACTGTAGCTAGCTAGCTTCCTTACAACAATTTGATGCAGTCAAGACAGGCACTACCAGATGATAGATAACCTATGGCAGCCAGCAACAAGTTTGTCTAACTAGCGCGAGTCTCTCTCCCTCCGTGCCACACACATATACTGTCACACACAACAGCCCCTGTGCCTCGCTCGTCCCTTCCCCACCCTTTTGCTGAAACAAGCAGAGCGCAGCGCACCAGCTCTCTCGAGTCGCGTGATGAAGTCTCATTTGAAGTTTTTTTATTTTTTATTTTACTATCCGGAAAGCCCAAAAAAATATTATGATATTATTCTAATAGTGAAATCATTTCAAATGCCCCTAGTGCTGTCGCTTGCCTTTCTCTGCCATTTTTCCAATTGTTAACGATGTTGACATAGTAGTGGAGAGTCAACTCCAAAATAATTCATTCCTCGCCTCCTTGCACGTCGACTCCCGGTGTCGACTCCCATTTCTGAGTGTCAAGATTCGATTCTGCTAGGAATCGACTCTTCAACTTCTAAGATTCTGTATTTTTTGGAACAGAGGAGACTGATTTGTTGCCATACTTCCGAGAACACAAACACTCACATCTTTCATGGCGAGCTAGCGAGGGATGGAGAAAGAGGGCACAGTATAGGCAGGTCGGCAGAGTCAGAACCGTGCACTAGGCTCATCTATCGGTAATCAAAAGCTGTATCTCAAAATGGAATGCTGTATCTCGCAATTTCTTGTCTTGCAATGTCTCGCAACTTCAATAAAGCAGGGCCTATCATCAATGAATAGGCTAGGATATTCTACATTCAACAGACCAAAGACTGAACACACATTCTCATCATTACTAAAGAGAAAGAGCAGGTGAGCCAGTGCAAGGTTGGGAGAGAAAGGAGGGGGCATGCAGAAAGAACCGTGCACATGTCTTGGTAATCTGTATCTCACAATGTCTTGTCTTGCATGCCTAAAGTTTGCATCTTCCTCTCTGGTTTTATTTAAATTACACAACTTTCCCCAGGCCTTTATAGCCTATCATCTAGTTAGGCTATAACACGGCAAATCAATGTTTTCCTTTTATTCTTAAAGTTGGCAATCCCAATTTCATTTAAACGTTCACACCCCTACTTGGGGCCCTTTTTGGCACCTTCTGTCATTGGCTGTCAAACCAAGATAAAACAATTCCCTTAATATGGGATGCAGAGGAACAGAGTAGGCCATGTAAAGGTACTATATGGATGCTAACAGAGAAGTGTTACTCACCAGAAGGCTTTCCATGTGGACATCCCTGCACCTCGCAGAGGGAGGCTCACCGCAAGGCCTTCTGGGAAATTCTGGATACCTATGCCAATGGCCAAGTTTCTGTAAAACACATGTGTGATAAGACTTTAGAGGATACCACTTCTTAGATCATTGTCTGATGGCCTTTCAGATTACATGTATTATTACCATTACCCTAATCAATGGTCTTTCATTGACATTGGTTTAGAAGAGGGCTCCAGGCAGCCGAGCGGAAATGGAGGAAAACTAGACTCCCTGCGGACCTGTCATCTTTTCACTCCTTCCTCTCTACATTCTCTTCCTCTGTTTCCGCTGCTAAAGCCACTTTCTACCACTCTAAATTTCAAGCCGCTGCCTCTAACCCTAGGAAGCTCTTTGCCACCTTCTCCTCCCTGCTGAATCCTCCTCCTCCTCCTCCCTCTATGTGGATGACTTCGTCAACCATTTTGAAAAGAAGGTTGACGACATCCGATCCTCATTTATTAAGTCAAATGACACAGCTGGTTCTGCTCACACTGCCCTACCCTATGCTTTGACTTCTTTCTCCCCTCTCTCTCCAGGCGACTTGTGACGGCCGGCCGCCCAACAACCTGCCCGCTTGACCCTATCCCCTCCTCTCTTCTCCAGACCATTTCTGGAGACCTTCTCCCTTACCTCACCTCGCTCATCAACTCATCCTTGACTGCTGGCCATGTCCCTTCCGTCTTCAAGAGAGCGAGAGTTGCACCCCTCCTCAAAAAACCTACACTCGATCCCTCCGATGTCAACAACTACAGACCAGTATCCCTTCTTTCTTTTTTCTCCAAAACTCTTGAGCGTGCCGTCTCTAGCCAACTCTCCTGCTATCTCTCTCAGAATGACCTTCTTGATTCAAACCAGTCAGGTTTCAAGACTGGTCATTCAACTGAGACTGCTCTTCTCTGTGTCACGGAGGCTCTCTGCACTGCTAAAGCTAACTCTCTCTCCTCTGCTCTTATCCTTCTAGACCTATCCGTTGCCTTTGATACTGTGAACCATCAGATCCTCCTCTCCACCCTCTCCGAGTTGGGCATCTCTGTCGCTGCTCACTCTTGGATTGCGTCCTACCTGACAGGTCGCTCCTACCAGGTGGCGTGGCGAGAATCTGTCTCCGCACCACGTGCTCTCACCACTGGTGTCCCCCAGGGCTCAGTTCTAGGCCCTCTCCTATTCTCTCTATACACCAAGTCACTTGGCTCTGTCATATCCTCACATGGTCTCTCCTATCATTGCTACGCAGACGACATACAATTCGTTTTCTCCTTTCCCCCTTCTGATAACCAGGTGGCGAATCACATCTCTGCATGTCTGGCAGACATACAGTGAGGGAAAAAAGTATTTGATCCCCTACTGATTTTGTATGTTTGCCCACTGACAAAGACATGATCAGTCTATAATTTTAATGGTAGGTTTATTTGAACAGTGAGAGACAGAATAACAACAACAAAATCCAGAAAAACGCATGTCAAAAATGTTATAAATTGATTTGCATTTTAATGAGGGAAATAAGTATTTGACCCCCTCTCAATCAGAAAGATTTCTGGCTCCCTGGTGTCTTTTATACAGATAACGAGCTGAGATTAGGAGCACACTCTTTAAGGGAGTGCTCCTAATCTCAGTTTGTTACCTGTCTAAAAGACACCTATCCACAGAAGCAATCAATCAATCAGATTCCAAACTCTCCACCATGGCCAAGACCAAAGAGCTGTCCAAGGATGTCAGGGACAAGATTGTAGACCTACACAAGGCTGGAATGGGCTACAAGACCATCGCTAAGCAGCTTGGTGAGAAGGTGACAACAGTTGGTGCGATTATTCGCAAATGGAAGAAACACAAAATAACTGTCAATCTCCCTTGGCTTGGGGCTCCATGCAAGATCTCACCTCGTGGAGTTGCAATGATCATGAGAACGGTGAGGAATCAATCAATCAAAATCACCCGTCTGGTGTTCAACCTTCCCAAGTTCCTCCGCACACTCCACTGGCTTCCAGTTGAGGCTTGCATCTACTACAAGACCATGGTGCTTGCCTACGGAGCTGTGAGGGGAACGGCACCTCCTTACCTTCAGTCTCTGATCAGACCCTACACCCAAACGAGGGCACTACGTTCATCCACCTCTGGCCTGCTAGCTCCCCTACCTCTAGTTCCCGCTCAGCCCAGTCAAAGCTATTCGCTGCTCTGGCACCCCAATGGTGGAACAAGCTCCCACACGATGCCAGGTCGGCGGAGTCACTGACCACCTTCCGGAGACACTTGAAACCCTACCTCTTTAAGGAATACCTGGAATAGTATAAAGTAATCCTTCTTCCCCCACCCCCCATAAAAAATAAATAAAAATAAAAGTGGTTGTCCCACTGGCTATCATAAGTTGAATGCACCAATTTGTAAGTCGCTCTGGATAAGAGCGTCTGCTAAATGATGTAAATGTAAATGTTTAGAAGTCTAAGTGGAAGAGATTTCAGAGCTTTGAGTTTGCATTTGAAGCATTAAATTCACTTGAACCTCATTGCTTAAATGGAACTGGAGCTTTATCATGGCTAAGTGAGGTAGAAAGAAGTGTGGTTGGTGGGTGGGTGAAGTGTGGTTGGTGGGTGGATGGGTGGGTTGGTTGGTTGATTAGCTAGGAGGAAACTGTATCTGAATTAAATATAGTACATAGCATGGAAAAAACAGCTATTTTGCTGCTGGCAGTCGTGCTCAGTCTACATTACACAGAGAAAGAGTCAGCACTGAAGGAACTCATCATTACAGTAAAACCGCAGAGACTATGGATAGGGACTCATTCTCAGGACAGGAAATGAGCTGGAAACAATTGCTAAGGAGATAGCATGTCAAGACACATGAGGAGAGCATTGGATGTGAAGAGTTATGAGTTCAGCAGAAAATGGATGTTAAACAATAAGTTGAGCTTAGAACTGTGAAACCATAGGCTAATATCCAAAACAACAAATACACAATAAGTCACTATTCCCCACCCCCATCCAAGGCTCTCCAAAGCATCAATAAACTGAGCATAACAGCACACTCCCAGTCCACACTATTAGCAGCCAGGGTGGTAATTCAACGACATGCACATAAGTGGTGTTAACCAGTGTGTTTGTTTGTCTGCTCACACTCCACTGCATCCTAGTCGGAATGCTTCAGTTCCCAGGGGGCAAGGAACTCAGCAACGCCACACACTGGTGTGTTTGGGAGGAACGGCTTTGTTTGTGTGTTTTAGGTAAAGGTCTGTTTTGGGTTTCCTCCTTCCTGCTCTCCCTCCCTCGATCCCCGTGAACCACTATCTGGCACAGAGTCAAGGGCCTGCCCCCAGAGAGGAAAGATTAATGACAGCTAGTCACGGAAAGGCTTATAGCTGCCACAGCCTGAGAGAGAGAGGGACATGGAGTGAATGAGAGAGAGAGAGAGAGAGAGAGAGAGTAGTGTAGTGTAGTATGCTTGGTTATGAGTGGGAATCACAATGCGTACAAAAGGAAGTGTATTTTGAACATGCAAGAGTGTTTCTGTGTCAAGGAAAGAATGAGGATACAATGACAGGGAGAGAGAGAGAGAGAGAGAGAGAGAGAGAGAGAGAGAGAGAGAGAGAGAGAGAGAGAGAGATGGAAGGAAGCAGGTGTGATGTGTGTGTAGCATGAATGTATGTGTGTGTATGTCTGTGTGGGTGTGTGCATGAGTGAGTGCATGTGTGCTACGGTGCAGAGAATCAGAGCAGGTGGACAGTCCAGGTCAAGTGTTCAGCAGTCTGATGGTTTGTAGATAGAAAATGTATCTGAGCCTGTTGGTATCAGACATGCTCCGACACCGTCTGCCTGATGGTAAGGGAGAGAACAGCTCATGGCTGGGGTGTGTGGGGTCCTTGATGATGCTGGGTGCCTTCCTCAGTATTTGGAGAGGACCCGGGTCGTCATGCCGAATTTCTTAAAACTTGTGACTCTCTCTACAGCAGTCCCGTTGATGTGGATCGGGTCATGTTCCCTCCTCTGCTTACTGAAATCAATAATCAACTCCTTTGTGTCATCAGCAAACTTGATGATGGAGTTGGTGTCGTACATAGCCACGCAGTCGTGGGTGAACAGGGAGTACAGCAGAGGACTGAGGACACACCCCTGTGGGGCCCCTGTGTTAAGAGTCAGTGTGGAGTCAGGAAGTCCAGGATCCAGTTGCAGAGGGTGGTGTCAAGACCCAGGGCTTTGAGCTTGGTGTCGAGCTTGGAGGGAACAATAACGTTGAATGCTGAACTGTAGTCAATTAACAGAGTTCTCAAATAGGAGTTCCGGCCATATGAATAGTGATGGAAATAGCATCTTCCGTGGATCTGTTGGAGCGGTAGACAAATTGAAGTGGATCCAGTGTGCCTGGCATGCTGGCCTTGATGTAGGCCATGACCAGCCTCTCAAAGCACTTCATGATGACCGAGGTGAGCACGACGGGGCGATCGTCATTTGGGTTTATCACTTCTTGAGCACCGGGACGCCTGCCAGCTGAGAAGACGCCCGCCAGCTGGTCAGCACACACTCTGAGGACGCGGCCAGGCCGGCCAAGAGAGAGAGAGAATCCAGAGAGAGAGAATCCAGAGAGAGAGAGGAGAGAGGAGAGGAGAGAGAGAGAGAGAGAGGGAAGGAGACGGAGAGAGAGGAGAGAGGAGGAGAGAGAGAGGGAGATGAGAGAGAGAGAGAGAGAGAGAGGGGGAGAGAGAGAGGAGGGGAGAGAGAGAGAGGGGGGAGTGGGAGAGGAGAGAGGGGGGGGAGAGGGGAGTGAGAAAGAAAGAAAGAAAGAAAGAAACAAAGAAAGAAACAAAGAAACAAAGAAACAAAGAAAAAGAAAGAAACAAAGAAACAGCTCTGTTTGTTTCTTTCTTTTTCTTTGTTTCTTTGTTTGTTTGTTTGTTTCTTTCTTTCTTTCTTTCTTTTCTTTCTCCCCCCCGCCCTCTCTCTCTCTCTCTCTCTCTCTCTCTCTGCCGGCCTGGCCGCGTCCTCAGAGTGTGTGCTGACCAGAGAGAGAGAAAGAAACAAAGAAAGAAACAAAGAAAGAAAGAAAGGAGAAGGAGAATCCCGAGACACCAA